ATAGGTCATGTCTTCGGTAAGGCCTAAATCCATCAAATCAGATCTCAAGCAGTCATCCCACTTCCGCCTTGGTCGTCCTTTCTTTCTGGCACCATCGACTGTAATCGACTCTACCCTCCTGACCGCATCCGACGGTAGTCGCCTAAGGACGTGGCCAAACCACCGTAATCTTCCCTCCCTCAATTTTTCGGTAACAGACACCACCCCTATGGACATCCTAATATCAGAGTTTTTCGTCATATCCCACAGAGTCCTACCACATGTCCATCGAAGCATTCTCATTTCTGCGGCCTCTATCCTCCTTACGTGATCCTTCTTGGGTGCCCAACATTCTGATCCATACAACAGCGCTGGTCTTATTGCCATTCTATAAAATTTTCCCTTAAGTTTTAGAGGCACCTTATTGTCACACAAAACTCCACTAGCGGCCCTCCACTTTAGCCATCCCGCCTTTATACGGTGTGTAACGTCATCATCTACACCCCCATCTTTATGTATCATAGTCCCTAAGTACTTGAAATAATCCTTTGAGGGAAGAACGTGTCCTCCTATGCATACTTCTACATCTTCATCGTTTTGGTTCCCATTGAAGTTTGAACATAAATACTCTGTCTTTTCAATATTGATCCTTAAACCTTTTTCTTCCAGAGCAGTCTTCCAGGTAGCCAGTCTACTCTTCAACTCAGATTTTGTTTTAGCAACTAGGACAATGTCGTCAGCGAAAAGCATACACCAAGGTACACCGTCTGGTGTCGCACAATAGATGTCGTCTATAATCAAGGCGAAGATGTAAGGGCTAAGAGCCGACCCCTGGTGGAGTCCGATTTCCACCGGGAATGCCTCGGTGTCACCAACTGTAGTCCTGACGTAAGTAGTAGATCTACAGTACATATCACGAATCGCCCGGATATAAGCAGTTGGTATCCGTCTCGTTTCCAAAGTCTTCCAGATCGTATCGCGAGGAACGCTATCATAAGCCTTCTCAAGGTCAATGAACGCCATGTGAAGATCTCTAGACTTTTCCCTATATTTCTCCATAAGCCGTCGAAGAAGATGAATCGCCTCCGTGGTAGACCTGTTTGGCATAAAGCCAAATTGGTTTTCCGAAACCCTAGTAACTTGTCTCAACCTAGCCTCTATCACCCTTTCCCATAGCTTCATGGTATGACTTAGTAGTTTAATACCTCTGTAGTTACCACAACGTTGGGGATCTCCTTTATTTTTATAGATTGGTATCACCGTAGACTCTCTCCACTCCTCTGGCATCTTGGCAGTCTCTAAAATAATATTAAAGATGTTGGTCAACCACTTAACTCCCTCATCTCCTAGGGCTAACCACACAGTGATAGGAATTTGATCATGACCGACAGCTTTCTCCCTTCCCATCTTTCTAAGAGCCATTTTGACTTCCTCAAACCCAATCCTACTTGTAGGGCAGTCATTGGCCGTAGTATGATGGTCGGCTGACCCATCAACGATACTATCTCTACATGGAGAGGCACCGTCATTAAATAAGCCAAAGAAGTAACTACCCCAAACCCTCTTAATATCAAGATCTTTCGTTAAAAGAACACCATTGTTGTCCTTAATAAACCTAATGTTACCTAGATCCTTTTTCCTAATCTCCCTAGATTTTGCAAGTCTGAAGATGCCATTTTGTCCTTCCTTGGTGTCTAATCTCTTGTACATTTCCTCATATGCCTTATCCTTTGCTTTAGCTACCGTTTTCTTGGTTTCCCGCTTTGCCTCCTGGTATCTTTGTTTAGTTCTCGACCTTTCTTCGTCGTCATTGCATTGAAGAAACTCCTTGAAGCAAGTTTGTTTTGTCTTCACCTTAGTTTGGACTTCGTCGTTCCACCACCACGATTCTTTATGTTCCTTGGCCTTCCCCGTCGACAACCCAATGGTGTTTTTGCCCACCTCTCTGATGGAATTTGCCATATTTTTCCATAACATATCTGCGTTATTTGAGTTTGTAGTTTCAAAACCTGTATTAGACAAAAGCTTACTCCTAAAGTCATCAGTTGTCGCTCTACGTAAGTTCTTCTAGAGGATCCTAGGTTTACCCAGTTTAGCCCTCCTATGAGTGCTCCGCCCGTTGGGTACGCGGAACACCAAAACCAACAATTTGTGTTGAGATGCACATGCCTCTTCAGGTAACACCTTACAGTCAATGCAAGCCCATCGTTCCCGATTCCTAACCAAGATGTAGTCGATTTGGGTACAATGTCCCCCGCTATGAAACGTAATCAAGTTCGCATCTCTCTTATTAAATAAGGAGTTAGTGATCACCAAATCGTGAGCAGTAGCAAAATCAAGCAACGTACGCCCCTCATCATTCCTGCTACCATAACCGAAACCCCCATGAACACCGTCATACCCGTCGATTGCACTACCTATATGGCCATTGAAGTCTCCCCCTATGAAAACTCTTTGGTCCTCCGGAATGCTCCTAAGTACAATATCTAACTGATCCCAGAAGCAACGTTTCTCCCCCTCCCCTAGGCCAACGTGTGGAGCGTACACTGAAAGGACATTCACCACTTCCGCTTCTATAATAACCTTAATCATCAAGATCCTATCCCGGTATCTACAAACTTCAACTACATTTTCCTTGAGACTAGAGGATACCAAGATACCCACCCCATTTCTAGCGTTATCTACTCCTGAATACCACAACTTGTACCCATTACACTCTCTGGCGCGAGCCCCTTTCCACCTAGTCTCCTGAATACATGCAAAATCTATTTTTCTATTACTAAGTACGTCGGTCAGCTCCAGCAGCCTAGCATTTAATGTACCTACATTTAACGAACAAACTCTAAGTCTAGTCTCCTTGACACCACTCCGTTGAGCCCTCCCCCTATACGCCCTATGGGATCTAAAAGAATGACATGACCTCAAGTAATCATCTACAATCGAAGCTATGAGGGACTATGAAAAAGAAATCCAAAGAAGGAAGAAGATGCACCAATAAAACGCTAGAGAATTGAGGGTACTAAGAAGCCTAGTTGGTTACTTAATAGGATTTTAAGATAAATTTACACTATCTTATTTAACTTTAGGCCAACAGCTGGAATGACGCAAAAATATTAAATAGTTTAAAAATCCTAATCCAGTTAACTCCAAATTCGTTTTTTCTACTACGTAAGCAAAATTCAACAATCAAAACTACAAACCTCCTATCTTTCCCAAACCAGATTTTTCCCGCTAATCAAACAAATAAAAAATCTACCACATACGGGAATTCAACTAACCAAAGACAGCGTATCTGAATAATCAAAGCAACTTAAAATCCCTATAAAAAGCTAGAACCGAGAAAAAGAAGAGAAAAACAACGGACACACCTGGAATCAAAGGGAGATAAATTTTTTTTTTCTCAATCTTGGGTTGAGGCTATCAAATGAATCAATTCCGATCCAACGCCAAGAATATTCGCTGATGCTAAAGAAATAATCCCAAAAATAGAATAAACCATCAAACATAAATAGATCTGAGAAAAGAACAAACCTTTACTGCAACTGTTTGAAAAACCTTCAAGTTCACTGGCTCCCAAACGTTTATAGGTTTAGAAAACGAGATGGGATTTTGATCTCAGCTTATGACTATGAAAAAGAAAATAGAACTCAAATATAAAATGATCAATAAAAATTCAATAACAAAATAATAAATAAAGGGGATGAAATCTCTGTAAAAACGGAAGGGTTTGGTGTGGAAGGGATTTCTAAAACAAACAAAGAAACAAATGTCAAGTAAAAATTGGGGATCGGCAAAGAGAGAGGAAAACGAAATCTGTCGTTAGAAAAATGTTCTACTTGCTTCTTAGGGCTCTTAACCTATACTTGAAATCCCCCTCTCCGTCTGTAACAACCGAAGCGAAATATTAATCCGCCAGAAAGAAAGCTTAAAAAGAGAAGAAAACTGAAAGAACAGTGAAGAAAGAGAGATTGGAGCTATGATTGACAGCAGATAACTACAGAAAGAACAAGGAAAATTGATAATCGTGAATGAGAAGTGTTGAGTAAATTATTCAACCAAAAAATATATATTAACTAAAAATTTAAAATGAAATCTAAATCTAGATTCGGGTTCAGATCCAGATTTAGAATTTAGAGATCTAGAACTTGAGGATTTCTCATGGCGGAGCTAGAAAAGCAATATGAGCGGGATGGTCAAGTGACCAGAGGTCCGCGATCGGCCGTTAAAGGGGCAGCTGAGAAGAGACAAACGGCCGACTCAAGCTCCGGCGAAGCTGAGAATCGTTCTTAAAGGATAATTGATTGAATATTATAGTGAAAATTACTTGAATAAGGTGTACAATAAATTATTTTATGATTTAAGGTGGTAAAAGGATAATTGTTATAGTAAGTAATGATATCGTCAGAAATTTATGAAATTTTTTTTAAAAAAAAAGTCAATTGAATAGTGATGTTCTTGATTTTGATTTACGGGCGTGATGACTTCCTCATGCTGTTTGCATACGTGCTAGCTGATAATAATGCAATCCGATCGTAAGAAACTTAACATACTAAACAAAAGAGTTAAAAATCGTAATGTAATTCACATGTTTTTTTTTTTTGAAATCGTAGTAGAATCTCGACGATATCAAATTAATATATCATATTAGAATATAAAATAATTTATGATGTATCTTATTCAAATAATATTTTTTACTATACTATTCGAATAATTTAGCCAAATAATAACTAACCATTATTCTAATAATTTCTGTAGATTGTTTTGGCAGACCCCTTGCTGATATATATCAATAAGTGGGGGACAAAAACAGGGAAAGTTTCTAAAGTGACTTTTGTTGTTCTACTCTTTATATTTTGTTTACCAAATTATCAATCTCTTCCCTTCATTCACGGCGCTCCCTCTTTCCAAAAAAATTTCCCAAGTGTCTTAGTCTCGTCTTTCCCCTGTTAAGCTGTTCAATCTCTCACTCACTCTGTTCTTTTCTCTCTCTCTCTCGTTTTCCTCCCCACCCCAAAAAAAAAATGTCCGAGTTTTCATTGACGACCGCCAAGAAGAGAATCCACGACTTGTCGAGTCTCTTGCTCTCTGACTTTATGCTCTTTTGTTCTTTCATTCTCTCTCACCCTCTTTACTTCTCCTACTTCATCTTCTTCTCCCCTTATTTCTTCAAGATCTTCTCTTTTCTTTCCCCTCTCTTTATAACCACCACCCTTTTGCTTCTCGCGTTTCTCACCCTCACTCCCAGTTTTGTCAACCATGGTGGCGGCAACTTCCCGAATTCCGACGTAAGTTTCCTACTTACCACCTGCCAAACTCTAGTTGAAACGTTGAGGTCTAAAGTTGACGATCATGAAAGCGATGGCGGATTTGGATGCTTGGGGGAAATTGAAGCACTTAAGATTGTGTTTGATACATCGGTTATCCTTGAAACTAGAGAAAACCCAGATGAAGTCTTGGATATGGAGTCCAAAGGAGATCGCTTTCAAGCTGTTGAAGAAGATCCCATTTTGCCTGAAAATAAACAAAAAGAAGTCAAGTCACTAAGCGTGGAGTCCAATAAAGTTGATGAACAAAAAGAAGACGAATTCATGACGAGGGGATCCAAGGCTGTGGGAAACAAAGTAAGTGATGATGGCTTTGAGCATGCTGCCAAAGCAACGGTGAATGAGGACAATTACAGATATTGCCACACGATGGGATCAGATGTTTGGAGCTTTGGGTCGATGAGGAAACAAAAGGAGTGGAAGAGGACATTGGCATGCAAGCTTTTCGAAGAGAGACACTCACAGAACGTGGCGGAAGGTGGTGGTGAAGGGATGGATTTACTTTGGGAGACTTATGAAACCGACTCCAATAATAAAGCACAATTGAAAAGCGGTTCGAAGAAAGGAAAGAAAGGTGGTGGTGGTAACAACAATGGCTACTTCTACGATGAGGATGATGATTATGAGGAAGAGTCGAATGGGCAAGTGTGTTGCTTACAGGCTTTAAAGTTGTCGGCCGGGAAGATGAATCTGGGAATGGGAAGGCCTAACCTTGTTAAGATCTCCAAGGCCCTTAAAGGGATCGGATGGTTGCACCATGTTAGCACCAGGCATGGCAAGAAAGGGTACCATTGAAACTAGATTTCTACGAGGATCACCAAGTAAATATGTTGTTTGATTTCACATGAAATGTAACTCTTTTTTCTCCTTTTTTCTTCATGAGTGGAACGTCAAACAATGAATATGTAGTAGTCCAACTTTGATCATATCCTATTGATAATTGCAAAGAAATGATTTCCATTGTCATGCACTGTCGGTCCTTCTCAGTTTTACAAGCTTCTGCAATAATGGTGTATTAAACCAGAAGGCCTAGAGAGATGCTTTATCATTGTCCATAGAAATCATTGATTCCTTAAAAGCAAACCCTTTTTTTTCCTTTTTGGTTAAAGTGCCCTTCAGTTTATGTCACATGCAACATGAATACAATTCTATATATGATCAGTGACAGCCTAGTGAAAGTTTCACCTAATATACATAAATTAATCTTTATAATTTGGTGATGGACATCCAAATTTGTAGTTGCATATTAAAATTAGATTTCTACGTCATTCTTCTTTGTTTTTACCAGTAAGTTAAGAATGGTAAAATTCAATTATGCAGGTCCAAGTAGCCTGAATAGTTGAGAGCTCTGATGAAGTGTGTTCGGGAATTAGCTACCGAGTTTTGGGTCCTTCAATTTAATGTCATCATATGCCCACCGCATGTGTTATTCTATGTGTTGTTTGAGAATGAAATAAATTGGATTACTTGAAGTTTAGGTTAGACATTTTTATTTGACATATATTTTGATATGTCTATTAAATGTTTTCATTGTTACGTGAAGTGATGTTCTTTCTATAGATTTTGAGTTAAAATAGTTGTGTCTATAAAATGTGTTATCGTTACTAATTAATAAAAAATATTATCCTTGAAAGATATTTGAGTACATAAACAATATTAAACAATTGATCACACTCTAAATCCAAATTTAATTTTAAAATGTAACAATATAAATTTATGGCTTAAGATAAAAACAAAGTGTCTAAACTATATTGTTTTTCTATTTAAGTGTCTAAATTATTTTTCGGTCAATCCAGATTTTTAACGTTATAAATTTTACCATTTTAAATGTCATGACAGTAATGGCCCTTAAAAAATCTTGTTAAGTGACACGTGTCATATTTTGATAATTTTAAATATTTTATTTTTAAAAAAAAATTAAAATAAATTATTATTATATTTAAAAAAATATTTTTTAAACAAAAAAATTCCCCCTAATTCCAATACCCGACATTAAATCTTCTCGGCATTGTGCGGTGTTGGAAAAAAATAATAGGGTTAGGGATTTAGATATTTAGGGTTTGTTGCGACAGTAAGGGTAGTAACTGGTCAGTAAATGGACAATGATAAGTAGGTGACCGCTCGGCTATGGAGGCGATGGCCGGCATGGGTATAAGAATTGGAATAAAAGTTTTTAAAGTTTTGAGTTTTTTTATAAAGATTTTCAAAAATTTTAAGTTTTTTTTTAAATTATATTTTTAAGTTTTTTATTTTAAATAAAATTGTCTAAATTACCAAAATGTTACATGATCCATTTAACGAAAATTTTTAATGCTTATAGTATCGGAATACTTAAAATAATAACGTTTGTAATGTTAGACACATAAATTTATCGAAAAATAGTTTAAACAACTAAATAGAAAAAAAAGGTATAATTTAAATAATTATTTTTATATTAAACCTAAAATTATCAATCATAAACATTATATTTTTTATTATTTTTAGATTAAAATGCATAATTTGGACGACCGGGCATGACGCCTAAGCTTGATTTTTGTTTTGTTTTGTTTTGAAATCTAGCCTTAAAACATCTCTGTTCTAAATAAAATATAAAATTTCTCTTTTACGTATTTGTACATTTATTTGATTAGTTTGTCTGGAACAATTTATACACCATGATGATTATCTTGTAGTTTACATAAGTAAATTTTACAATATTAGACACGATTCTTAAAAATATATTCCCGATCAATCAAACACCATAACTTTATATTTTTACCAAATAATTTAAATATACGAATGTAATAATCTAACAATGTGGCACGTAGAACTTAATTGAATTATGTCCGACAAAAGAAATAAGTTACTTCTCCACCACGGAATTCAATTGACTCATTTAGAGTTAAATTGTTGAAAGATGAGCAACGAACCCTCTTGTTTGTAATACTGAAAGAATGAAAACATGGATTTCGTGGTACAGTAGCTCAGATTCTCTTGTTTGTACATGCTTGTCTCAAAGATATCGTTTCAGTTCGACAAAAGATATAGCAGTACTTGAAATCTTCCTACGGAATTCTATTCTATCCTCATTGTTGACATGCCGAATCTTCAACTAAGGAAGAAAGACAAAGAAATCAGACAACCCAACCGGTTATGTTTTGTGTACACTGTTTGAGTTATCAGACAGGAATCATGTGCTTCCACTTCACATGCTATGGTCGACTCTCCGGATATATTTGGTAGTGGCAGAGGAGAGTGGTCGTCTATATAAATTCTCGTCGCCTTCCGAACAAAGCGCCATTCCTTCTGTCATGTCATCAGACTCAAAATGCACCATGGTCCTGGAGCCTACCTTATTTGGACTTGGGCAAACCTAAGATACGAATGTATTTTATATGGAAATAGTTCTCCTTCTTCTTTTAATCAAAACTTACTATATATGTTGTAGAAAATTATGGAATTCTTTTAAATAAAGACTATTATTTAATCTTTTATATATATATTAAATCTTTAATCTTTTGGTTAAAAAAATAAATATAATATTAAAATGAAATCATTTAATAATTTTTTAAATAGTCTGGAACTCTTGGGAGAATAAGATTGTCTTTTATCACTTATTCCACTTGATAAAGATAATATTTATTCAAAATATTTCTTAATCATTGATAACATATATACCTATAGACTTAACTACTTAAACCTAAGACCTCTTGGGAAAACAATTAATCACTGAGACCGCTTGATGGGTTCAGTTTGTTAAATTCTTAAATGTTATAGGATGAGTCTGTTTCGTTTTTGAATCATTTAATTGTATATCTTACATTAAAGGCTGCCCACAAATGTACGAGCTTCAATTAGAAAATTTATCAATTATGTGCTACGTAAGTATTCTCTTTTACCAAATGTATCTTTTGGTAATATTGTACATAGGGTGCACAAAAAATTCGAATATCCGATTTTGCGAAAAAAATATCCGAAACCGGATTTGGGAAAAACCGGTTTTTTTTAACCGGATCGGATTTTTTTAAACCGGTTTGGAAAAAAAACCTAGACCGATATTTTTACCAAATAAAAAACCGGTTAAAAAACCGGTTTTTATCCTGAAAAAAAACGGTATGGGTTTAAAAAACTAGCCGTTGGGGGGATTTTGTGACCGTTTTTTACCGTTTTTTTCTTTAAAAAATTATCATTTTACCACTCTAAACATGTATAAATAGGTTGGGGATGTATTTGGTTGATTACAACTTTCTCAAATCTTATTACACAACACCTAAACATCTCTCAAATCTTATTTTTGTAATTTTTTGTTCATCATGAGTAACACGGCTGAATCTTCCGTCGGGGGAAACCTTGAAGTCGTGAGAGTGATCGAACACACTCGAAACAAAGATATTTGAGATCACTACGATTTATGTGAGATGTCAAATGGCTCGAGGAGGGCGCGTTGTAAACTTTGTCTAAAGTTGCTTGCATTGGAAGGAAACACAACGTTGAAGAACCATTTGACAAAATCATGCAAGGCACTTCGCTCAAGATCAGATCCTAGTCAATCGAATCTTACACCGCAATGTGGTATTTTTGTTTACGACAACGAAAAATTATGAGAAGCGTTTACAAAGTTCGTGATTACAAAAGCATTATCGTTCGACCACTTTGATGATGAAGATTTCACGACAACAATTCAACAACTAATGCAACCACGTTATACTCAAATAAGTCGTACTACCCTTAGAAGAGATGCTATAAAAATGTGGCGTACGGCGAGGGAAAAAATGATTTTAGGATTCCAAGAACACTGTTATGGTGTGTCGCTTACATGTGACGTTTGGAGTTCCCCTCATAATACCGAAAATTCTTTTTTAGCCGTTACGTCACATTGGTTAGATCAAGATAATTGGCAAATGATGAAAAGAACTATCGCGTTTGAATTATTCGGTGAGCCGCATACCGGTGCTAATTTATTTACACTTTTAAAAAGGGTAATTTGTCTTTATAAATTAGAATATAAAGTTTTTTCTATATCCTTTGATAATGCATCGAATAATACAAACGCGGTTCCAAGATTAAAAATATTACTTTCACCGATTTTAGACGGTGCGTTTTTTTATACACGTTGCGTTGCACACATAATTAATTTATCCGTGCAAGCCGGTTTGGAGGTTATTGAGCCGATTAGATTAGAATTTAAAACAATGATAAAATCGGTTCTTTGTAACAACAACAAAAGACTAAATGATTATAAACGATTTTGTAAGTCCGTTAATAAAAAAGCTTTGGGTCCTAATTTGGATTGTCCAACTCGTTGGAACTCAACTTGGATGATGATGCATACTGCCTTAAGGCAAAGGGAAACATTGCAAACATTTCACGATCGGCTTTTCGAGAGGGGTCATGTCCCAAACATTTATTCGGATTCGAGTTGGGAAACTATAGCCAAAATAATCGATTTGCTTGGGGTTTTTAAAAATGCAACAACTTTTTTATCCGGTGTTTATTACCCTACTTGCCCGTTGGTTCTTAATCAAATATTTTTGTTGGCTACCCGACTAAATGACTTTTAATTTGAAACCGAAGTTTTTCAAGAAATTGGCTTTGCAATGAAGGAAAAACTTTTAAAATATTTTAAGGAGATTCCCCCCATTTTTACTTGTGTCGTCGCTTTAAACCCAACGTTAAATGTTAGTTTGCTTTTAATCTAACCGATGATGAACCCAACTTTGTCCAAAACCAAATAAATTATTTTAACAAATTTTCGAGACATGTTTGCAATTTATTTAACTAAATACGGATCAAGTAGTGTAATACACGATCAAATG